TCGATAAATACATGGCTAGTATTAATCAACATAGACAATTTAAAACAATATACTGAAAATACTGGGCATATAATATTTTTCACAATATAATAATAAAAAAAAAATTTACAAACTAAATTTATTTTGTCTTCTTACATATTCTAAATTTCAGGGGACAAAAAAAAAAAAACAAACAACTAAACATCATACAAGTAGTTTTCTCTCATTTCCTGCTATCCTGAAGTTAAAATGAATATAATTAAGAAAAAAGAACTGACTGATACCATAATTTCTGTAATTACAGATTTCTTGAAAGGTGTCACAACACAACTGCACTTAAATGCTTCCCAATGAGGTCTGATACTAACTAGTAATGTAACTACTCAACCAAGTTCTTCTGAATACAAACCAGTAAATAATTGTTACATTATTTCTTTATGTCCAAAGTCAACATTAGCTGAGGAAACAATGAAGAAGAAGCCTACAAAGGACTTGGCATGAGTTGGTTTGCCTAAGAATGTGAAGATGAAGAATGAGAAGATGAATGAGAAAGGGAAGAAGAAAATGTACATTATACTGGCTGGTTAAAGGAGAAAAAAAAAAGATGACTATGCTCACCAGCTCCTAAGGAGCTTTGGTTATAACTGTGGACTGGTTTTTGTGTGCTAAATTTAATAGCTGATATTAGTTTGTTTCTGATTATACATCCACTTTACTTTTAACATATAAGATGACCCATATTAGTAAAGACACAACTTACATCAATATTCAATACTATCACATGAACAAAGAGAAAGATGTTATTAAAAAAAATAATAATTTAGGACTCAACAATGCTGAGAGTCAAGAATTAACACAAAATAATTAACAACTACATAATGATTTGGGCAGCAATATTAATAAAGATGGATAGAGATATTAAAATAAAAAAGGCAAGAGGAAATTTCATAGCACTAGGAAATGCGTGGAAGTCAAAAGAAATTAAAAGAAATACTAAACATAAAATTTTTAATTCTTATGTCCAATCAGTTCTGTTGTATGGAGCGGAAACATGGATAAAAACTAAAGCAATTACTAATAAAATATAGACATTCAATAACTAGTGCCTTCGCAGAATAGAGGGAATTAAATGGTATGACAGAATCACTAATGTCGAGCTTTGGGAGATAAATTGAACAAGTTCCAGTGGACTAAGAGGTGAAGAAAAGACAGAGGTGTTGGATAGGACACATGTTGAGAAAACCTGAGGGCAATTTAACTAAAATGTCTTTGCACTGGAACCTACAAGGGCACAGAAATAAAGGAAGACCAAAAACACACAGTGTAGGGGAGCTAGAGAACGAAGTTAAAAAGATGGGGGGGGGGGGGGGGGGGGGGGGGGGAACATGTAAATAGCTGCAAGCGATAGCGAAGGATAGAACGACTTGTTGTGAGTTGGTTGAGGGCCTATGCTCCACTGGGGGTTAGAAAAGCAGAAGAAGAAGAAATATTGATAATAATAAATCTTTAGAAGGAAAGATGATTTCCTTACCTTGTTTGTATACACTCAATGAAAACAAATTAACATTTAAAAAAAAAAAAAAAAAAAAAAACCACAAGCTAGAAAAATAAGATAACTACAAATTTCTATGAATACATCAAGAAAAAAAAAAATGGAAGGGAGGAGGGGAAAAAAGATGTCAGAATAGTAAACATTTATCTAACATGCTACACCAAATCAAACAAATTAATGTACTAATTTTCCTCTATTACATGTCATTCTGTTACCAACTTTCACTCTCTTGTCTCAGGTTTAGCTGGGTTTTTTTAATAGTAAAATTCAATGATCTTAACTCTTTTAGTTGCAAACTATGTGTGATCAGCTAATGTTTGTGTGTATCAAAACACCAGATGGTGCATACTTATATCTTTACCATTTGGCATGAGCTTACTAAGGAAATCTGGCATCAGCAGAACCTAGCTGGAAAAAAAATGTTTTAGAGCTAATTGTTTTATTGTTGTTGCTACTGCAGACTGTCTGGAAACTTGTGTAACAGCACCTAAGCTTTAGTAACATCATTCAGTACATGATGAAACAAACTGGCCATCGTAAAAAGATTGAGGCCTTAGCATGCCTAACAATACTCTAAAGCTAGTAATAATGACAGATGCTGAAAATGAGTAGTGCCAATTATTTTGTATATTCAAGTCTATCAGACAGCTTAGACACTGGCTTAATGAACATGCAATTTAGAAAGTCAAAATGAGGTCTTGGGCATATGGATATACAGATGAAGAGGCTATGTCATGGAGAGAGAGAAAAAAACACTTAAAGTGAGCAAGAGATAGACAGTGACACAAGTGGGAGGAAAATAACAAGCGATGGACAACATCTAGTTTGCGAATGGAGGTGGAAGCACGCACAGCAGCTCTCCGATGGCTTGACAACCAGGTGTGCACACATCATGATTGTAGCCAACCCACAAAATATGTTAAGAAAGGTGGAGACTGGCATGTTCCATGTAGAGTGGCAAGCATCACTTTTGAGGTTCTGGGTAGTCATTCATTTATGAATAACAAACTAGATGTGGTCAGGGCCCTTTGGGAGCAGGTGAAAATATGGAGACAGGAATAGATCATTATGGTCTGGAGAGAATGGTACAGCTGGGAGTGACCAGAGGATCTGGTCAACATTCTACACACAGAGGAAAGGCAAGACCGCAAGACAGACAAAAATCAAACTGATACTAGCACCACCGGAATTTGAATTCTTCAATGACTGCTGAAGATGAGGACGGAGCACTTATGAAAATTCCCCAAGTGCTGAGACATCAGAATTTAGCCCCACTCAAAAGATGCATGAAGCGCAGCCTTACAGAGTGTGGGCATCAGGATGAGCTTGTTGGACATCCAATGCAGCAACCATTACCATGGCAACAATAGCTTATTAAATTCATACAGCCTTCAAGATATTCATTTGCAGTAGAATAATCTGATCACAAAGGCAACAAGATCATAAATACAAATTTGTATTCACCAAGCAACACATAAGCATCTAGTAATCATACTTCCTGCTTTACTAAAAAAAAAAATGCAGCAGGTCATACAGAAATCAGAGAAATCCAATGTCAAATTCTCTTCTTCATTTCCTCTTCTACAGCTTCAGGTGTCAAGGGTTCTGCTTCTTGCATTTCTGGCCATCTCGACCACAGACACTTTGTGTCTTTCTGATGTTATCTTTCAATCTTGCTCTTGGTCTATCTTGTGCTCTACATCTTTCTCCTCTCTTGGTGTATGCCTTCTATGGTATGGCCTCATTAAGTATTCTCTCTAACTGGACAAACCATTTGATTTACTGTCTTTGTATGTAATTTAGAATTGTTTCTGTAGCAACTTTTCTCATATGACCTTATTCCTTTTTTTGTGTGTTATCTCTTCTGGTCACTTCTGCAGTCCTTCTTAGAGGTCCATGGTTACTAATTGTCTTTTCTGAATGTCAAATTAAATATACTTATTTGAAGAAAAAAAAAAAACAGTAAAAAAAACTGTCTGTGTATCTCTTTGCAACTAACTGTGGTGGTATAGTGGTTAGTGTGCATACCTGCTATGACAATGATGTGAGTTCAATTCCCTGCAGAGGCTGGGTAACATTTTTACGAACAGTACCATCTATGGAATCTTGGCAGGCAAACATACTATCCATTACGGCACTGCAGTATAACTGATTTGCTGTTACATTTAACAAATAAGAAGCTAAGTCCAGTGATTATACTCAGTGTTTGCTCATTTGGTATACCATCATTGTTACCCTGTTGTGCCATTATATGTCAAACAGTGCTCACAGTCTATACCTTCATTCCATTCTATCCTGTGCAATCAATTCAATATCATGGATGGAATCCAGTCCAGCATCTTTGTCCTTTCTTATCGACTTTCATTTTAAGGTTTCTTCTTCCCCTTCCTAAATCCCCTTATTTCTCATTTTAGTACTTTGGTGATTCCCAGCTCGTTTCTTCTCATGAATGTGTCCAATATATGCACCATCTGCTTTGTCTTATAACTGTTGTTACCACTGGGGGCTTGGACATTTCTCCCTTATCTTCACCCTTCTTGAATTTATCACATTTTATATTCAACATTTTCCTCAGGTGTTTGTTTTTAAATACATTTAACTTTAGGCTATCCTCCGAATAATGGCCACATATTATGGCCACCAAAAAAAAAAAAAACACCCTGACGGGGCCTCATTAGGTCATGTGTTGTAAACGTTCACAAACTTGAACTCGAAAATAATAAGGAACGAAAAAGAGGGAAAATGAAATCGACTGCTTACCGATAATTGATGCTTTTATATCTGAAAATTGTGGCACAGAAGTTGCGAATAGTGCCCGAAAATCTGCTGTTTGTAGCTGTTTTTTGTGGCCGCCATAATATGTGTCTGTTATTCAGAGGATAGCCCATACCGCCACCGCAGAGAGTATCCCTATGGCGCAGAGGGGGGCTAAACTAGATGGCTGGGACTCACGAGCAAATAAAATGAGGAAGCTGCAAGAGATGCGGTAGCTGCTGCTCATGAGTCCCAGCCATCTAGTTTAGCCCCACGCTGCGCGTAGCGGCACGGGGGAAACTCTCAGTGGCAATTTTAACTCCGTGGTTTGTTGCGCTTCACGACATCATCGCCGAAAATTTATCCCACTTGTACCGCATGTTTTGTTGCATTTCGTGACATTAACCCCGGAAATTTATCCTACTTTTGCCGCGGTATATTCGCCGGAAAGAAATTCGCAATTTACAAGTGATTGAGGCCCTGTCAGGGTGTTTTTTTTGTTAGCCGCCATAATATGTGGCGGTAAATCGGAGGATAGTCTAACTTTAATATGTATACTATGCTATTTCAATATTGCACTTATCTATCAAAACTTCTTTTTAGCTACAAGGATAACATTAATCAAATAAGTGACACTAAAGTTTACAACTAACAAAAAAGCAGAAATAAAAATTAAGATTTAAGTGCAACCTCTTCACATCCTGTCACTTTAGGTTCACTCATCCGTATCAATGGAAACACAGTTATATGCTGCATACCGCAGTCTCTCCTCGGCAATCTTCTCACTGAAAATACCACAAGCAGAGAATCAGTTAGCAGTCATCTAACAATTCTTGGATGATGAATAAAGAGTCTTCTTCTTCGCGTTTACTGGCCATAAACTCGGTGGAAAGTTCTGGTTCTTCATCCACATCTGACCTTGTTCCTGAACAGGAGTGTTGTGTGCACATCCGTTTTATAGATCTGACATTTTTGTATGCAGACTGTTGGTTCGTTGCCTCTCAGACAATTGTGCTCCGATTCAGAATGAATTCTCTAAACAGTCGACTCATTCGACGTGCTTGTTAGGGGGGCAGTGGGTCTGTTCTTGTTTTCCCCCACAATGGGGACCTGGAACCCACACTGGGAAAATAAAGAATTTTATTGTAATGAAATTATTATATACATCATCACCTCTGCCAAATGTCACTTTAATATCTTACAAGAATCTATGCTCTGTCGGTGTCTGTGGCTTAGGCCTTGTGAATGCGCTTTGTAATGCTGGGGTGCCGTGTTCGATCCCAGCTGCGAACGGTTTGTCTTGCGTTGGTTTTGACATTAGTACCAAGAATCGACCGTTCAGAAAGCAATAGCAAATTACTGGATGTAAATTTGCTTAAAAAAAAAAAAAAAAATTGCCAAAAATTTGTGAGGTTGGTTCTGCAACATCCTGTAGAGGATACGCAACTAACTTCTTCTGCATTCGACATCAGTCATGCTACACATTGAGTCCCGTCTGGGTCAAAAATAGGATTGTGCGTTTAAGGTCGTCACCGGTCCCCCATAACTTCCCACGCAATGTGGATCCCCTGGGCCAGATCCACAGTCTTAGCTGGGAGAGGAAAGGGCAGTACTGCAGTATGTGCTCAGGGGTCTGTCTTTCTGCTCCACAATCACAGGCAGCAGATTCTTTTATGCCTATCCTGTACAAGTGTGCTCGAAGACCACAGTGTCCAGTCCGAAGTCTAAAAATTGATGTTTGTTCTTTCCTGTTGAGTTTGTTTATGCTGTTTATGTTTATTTTTAGCCTTGCCTTTTACTGTTATTTTTAGCTTAGCCTTTTACGGTTATTTTTAGCCTAGCTTTTCACTGTTATTTTTAGCCTAGCCTTTTACTGTTATTTTTAGCCAAGCCCTTTACTGTTTTTTTTAGCCTAGCTCTTTACTGTTATTTTTAGCCTAGCCTTTTACTGTTATTTTTAGCCTAGTCCTTTACTGTTATTTCTAGCCTTGCCTTTTACTGTTATTTTTAGCCTACCCTTTTACTGTTATTTTTAGCTTCACCGTTTACTATATATTTTAGCCTAGCCCTTTACGGTTTTTTTAAGCTTTACTGTTTACTAATAACTTTAGCCTAGGACTTTACGGTTATTTTTAGCTTCACTGATTGCTATTAATTTTAGCCTGGGACTTTATGGTTATTTTTAGCTTCACCGTTTACTATTAAATTTAGCCTAGACCTTTACTGTTATTTTTAGCCCTTCACTGTTACTTTTAGTTAAACAAAACATTTAACAACAAAAGACCCACAATTCATATGTGACTTACTCAGAATACACAGGTAAATGTAGTGTATTGCAGCAAGTTGATGACTCTGGTAATGGATCAATAGGACTACTGTGAAACAAACATGGTAAAAGCAGAAGTTAGTTAAAGAAATATAAAGTGAACTGTGATTAATATGAATTAATATGTGGTTATTTCTGTTTAACTTCCCCAAAGGTGTCTCTACCTTGCTTTGGTGGAAGAGTCTGTGTTTCTCTGTAGCATAGTCACCACAAGGGACTCCAAAGCTGGACAAGTAAACAGGCAGAGAACAGACAAATAGAGACATCCTGATCTTCCAGGAGGTTGGGGGTTAAAAGGGCCAACACCACGTTTTTAAAACTTCATTCAGTCACAAAACAGATACATAAGCCTCAAATTTGGTAGTTAATATATAGGCAGACCTACAAACACTTGAGTCACCAACTGGAAAGAGAAGACCAGCCACAGAGATTCTTCTTCTTTATGTTCACCAGCTGTAAACTCTGGCTGAAAGTTCTCAAACAATCATCAGAATCACAGATCAAGTCAGTGTTCTTGACTCTATAGCCATGTGGCAATTTTTTTTTCCTCCTTGCTCTATTTCCATCAAGCTTGTCATTGGTCACCAAATATTAAAAAACATAGCTTTCTACAAACCTTGAGTTTACTTACTTTTTCCCAGAAGATATGAAAATGGATACAGGCAACCGTCTTCGTCCAGTAATAAAACGAAGCAAGCGACTTCTGTCTTCATTTGAGAAATTTTTCACGGCGCTCCAGAAGTATTTCACTCTCAGATCATCTTCATCTATGTGATGGTAGTAAGCTAAGGGACAAATATCATTTAATGGATTTTTTGGCCTAATTTACAACTGCAAAGTATTAAATGATAAAAATGTTATATCATAAATGATAAAAATGTTATATCATTCTTACGACCATGTTATTTGTAACTTCTCTGCTGATGACAGTTTCCCATATTTCCAGATGATAGTATTCCTGTCGTGGACCTATACCCCATCTGTAAGAGTGTGCAACATGAGTTTTAAGTATGATAGTAGTGAGTATAGCAATCTTAGCGACAGAAGTCACGCACAAAAAAGTGCCAGATTTTTCCCTGTAAAGCTGAAATAATCACAAGGAGACGGGACGTGATGGAAGGAGAGAAGTTAGAGACAGTATTGGACTTGAGAAGATGGACTGACCATTCCTAGACTGGATCATTTTTTTTTAAAGGACAATATAGCTGCCATAGAGTTTGACCCGTTACTATATGATGTCACAATTGTTGCTGCTGTGGTAGTTGTTAGTCTTATATATTGTTAACCGTCTAGTTAATTCTTAATAAACCAGAAATATTCAAATATCAATGGTGCATCTGTCTTTTCCACTTATGTCTTTGTGCAACCCGTCATGATTGTGTCTTCGTGCAACCCGTCATGATACAATTATTCATCAGGTACTTTGTTTATCATTTATGAGCTAGGCTGCTGCCTATTAAATCTTTGAGAAAGCCTGTTTACTCAACAACTTCAGGAATCCATGTTTTGGTCTCTTACCCACAGAGACACTCTGAGACAATTCCATTGTGCAATAGGGAGGCACTGGAAGCACAGCCTGTGACGATGGTGTGACACTAGCACGACTAGCTCCCAGCTCACATTAGGAAGAGTTTCCACAATAAGTGCATGTGGTTTTAGGACCACTGCCATCACATGTATCTGACATGTTTCTTCTCAGACGCTTAGCTCAACTGACCTGCAATCCTTTTCTCTTTTGTGCCTGTTCCATTCCCAAATGGCCCTCTCCATTGCTGAATGTTGATTGCTGAATTAAGAATCTCCTCCTTCTTCTTTCGTTCACTGGAAATTATGTATATCTGCAATGCTGTCTCTAGTATGAACTTCACTTTCTTTTGTAATTCCCCTAGCGGCCTGTAAAGTTTGGTTTCCACCAATGTCTCTCTTGGCCAGAAGTTTTGCCTAGAAATGTTGTATTTTGGAAAGTTTTGGAGGATGTGATCTGTTGTCTCAGGTACCAGTCCACATGTGCATATAGCTGATTCGCCAAAATTAAATTTTGTTTATATGTGACTGTGCCCTGTACTAAGGCGAAGAATAATAACTTGCTCTGGTCTGTCCATAACACAGTAATTGTCTTGTGCTAGTTTTGGTGGCTTTGTGATTGATCTGATTATTCTCTTCTTCTGCTGATGAATTAAAAATCAACATCACAACACTTGGGATATTCCCATAAGTGCTTCATCCCTATCTTCAGCAGCAAGGGCAAAGTTCCAGTTCTGATAGTACCACTAACAGTCTGACTGTATATCCACCTCACTTTTCCCCTCCATGCACTGTATCCATGGCATCCTATTCCCACCAAAATTTATCCGTTATATACCATTAACATATATTTTAGTAAACTTTTCAGACTACATCAATTTTGAAGCAGCTTCTGTGGCTTAGTTTTTGCGAGTCCGACTCGTAATTCCAACGTACTGCGATTAAAACCCACTGCTAGCTGCGTGGTTTTTATCATGGTATGGGGCGTCACAGGTCGACCCAGCCTAAAATGGGTACCAGGATGGCTGTCCTGGGAAAGTAAAGACGGCCGGCGTAATGCTGACCACATCACCCACCTATTGCCAATGGTCTGTAAAAATATGGGCGCTCTTCCCATATACCCCATATGCCTAAAGGAGTGAAAAGGGATCTTTACTTACTTCTTTACTTTTACATCAATTCTGAGTCTGAAACTTTTCGCTACTATGTAGGTGTAAATTATTTTTTGATAGTAAACAAACATATGTATATGTGTGTGCGAGGAGCTATACAAAGAACCCAACTGTGAACATCAAACCTACTGACTTGTAAGTAACAAAGTAAGTAAAAAACCTATTTTTGTGTGTGTTTACACCAGTGAAGCACTGGGCATATGATGTTAGGCATATATGATGTTTTTTTCGTATAGATCTGTCAGCATTCATCGGTTGATGTGGTCAATATCAGTCTGGACCTCCTGACCTGAGCTCGCTGTGCTGTGGAAAATGTTAAAGTTTCTCTCCAGGAACAATAATCTGCATACAATTTGTCACCGACAGATTTGTTAAATGTTGAGTGTTGAATTAAGAATCAATATCATAGCACTCAAGACACTCCCATAAGCGCTCCATCCCCATCTTCAGCAGCAATTGAAGACTTTCAGTTATGATGGTACCATTACCTGTCTGATTGTATATCCGCCTCACCTTTCCCTTGAGTGTTAAGCGGAAAGATGCCCTGGTAACTCCTTGCAGCGCCATTCTCCTCAAACCATAAGGATCAATCTGTGGCTGAGCATCGTTACTCGCTTCTAAAGGGCACTTACAACATCTAGCAGAACCAGCCAGTTAATCTGCCTGTTCATTTCCCAACACACCAGCATTACCTGGAGAAAATATCCTAAAATGCTAACTACCTGGAACCTCTGAAGTGATGCTATCCACTCTGCACGGAAAATGCCTGTCTCCATCTTTGTCAACATGCTCTGTGAGTCGTTTACAATCATGGCATGTGTACAGCTGATTCTCAAGCCAGCGTAAGGCAGCAGTGACTGCCCCCACCTCCATTCTCAAATGTTTGTGACATCATATACGAGGCTTTGTTGCACTAAGCGATGTCCATTAACATTTATGAAATTGTCAAGGCATTTCCCAATGATGGCATAAGCTGTCAAGGTATTTTCAATGTGAGCAATGTACTTTATTTGCTCCTATCTTAGGCAGCAACTATGCCACCACCCACAGTTCTAGTCTAAATGCACACAATTTTTTTTTCTTTCTATCTCTCAAATAATGTCCTCAACTGGATATGAAAGTAGCATATTCTGAGTTACAGATACTATAAACACAGGTTACTTATACCATAACATAACAGACTACAACACTGATATGGACATACTTGTTTTACAGACAAATACCATAAACAAACGTCTCTTATATCATCACATAACATACTACAAGGCTGACATGGACATCATGTTTTAGAGACAGATACCATACACATGTCACTTATACCAACACATAACAGACCACACACTGACATGGACATACTGTTTTTCATCAAAGCTTCCACTGTAATCTCCGGTTCTCCACAGATTCTCGACTCCAGCTCTTGCCAAGTTAACAGTCCCAGAACAGCCTCTGGTATAACTTTCAGCAAACCTGTTCTGATAGCTTTTAACTGCAAGATAAAACAACAAAGGGTAGAGTATTTGAATAAATATGTGCGGCAGGGACATAACTAAATGATTAGATTAGTCTTTCCTCTTGAGCTGAGAGCGGCACAAAGGGCAGCGGTCAAAGCTCTCCATGACTGGCGGTTGGTTACCACCCGCAATAGGTCTTGGATGTTTGTTAGGCCTTCCCTGATAATGATTCTATGTAGAGTCTCTCTTAGACTTCCCCCTTTTCTTTTCCCTTCTGGTGTCCATATGAGGGCTTAGTGGGGAAATCTTGTCTTATCCATTCTGAGTCCACGGCCGAAGTAGTTTCAGCGGAGCTTTCATATTCAACTGGATATATTGTCTTGCTTGGTCTCTTGTCTTAATGATGGACAAACATAAATTATGATAAGCGATCATCCACACTGAGAGTCATCATCATTAGATAAGTTGGCATGAAAGCTATTGTTTAGGTCAATCTATGTCATGTCATTAAACTGCAAATCAGTAGATCATCATGTTTCTTGCTCAAAAGCTAGAATGGACTCTCACCTTAGGGCCGCAACATTCAACAATGCTTTATCTAAACTTTTTTAAATTACAACCCCTGCCGGAACCCACCCATCCTACCTCTCTTCTTGTCCAGTACCCTTTTCCTAAATCACATAGAAGAGTTTCTACTCTCTGGATGACTTCAAATTCAGAGTGATTCTGTGTATTCTTATTTGTAATTGTAGCATTGTCCATTTGTTTGATATGCTGACGAAGGCTTTCTGGCCACAACATTAATTTGCTATTTGTGACTGCGATAATGTAAAGCTGAGGAGTTCTAATACTTGTTTGCAGTGATATCTTTTCTTGCTAATAAGCATGGACAGACATGGTTTTTCCAACTCAAAAGATCACCAAAGTTTTTGCTTTGTTTTGTTCATGTCTGTGTTCTTGCCTAATTCATCAAGTTTTTGTTATCTGTATGTCTTCCGGTTACTCTTTTCCCATAAAATGTTCCTGCTGCCTGCCACTAAATTGCTAGTTTACTTTTTCTCACAACAGTCCAAAACATTTGGATTTCCTCCAGCTAATTTCAATAACCAGTGTAGTTTTCACTTTTCTCAACAAGTGCCTCATTCATCAACATGTCCGGCAGTGCCTTTAAGTGTTTCACTCCACCTGTGGGTTCTGGGGCTCAGTTTTGGGGTAAGGAGGTGGGGAAATTATAACGACTGCCGCTATAATATTCTTAATGGTCATATAGATGTCAGTCAGGTAATTCTCTGTGGTATTTGTGTTTAAAGATAACTCTTCTTATTCTGTAAGATAATTAACATTATTTTGATCCATAAATGGAATTATGATTCTTTTGTAAACTGTGTTAAATTGTTATTTTCTTAAAAAAATTATTTTTCTGGGAATTCTATAAATACTGGTCACCGGCATTGTTTTTCTAGGACACAAGGGTGAAAGGGTTAACATACAAAGAGGTATTCCATATAGGTCTACGACAAGAGATCATAACTAGTTAGGATGCAACCAACTTTTGCCTAGGATATCCTCATGGTTACGTGAAACTTACAGGGCCAAAAATATAACATAATTACAGACAACATAAGTGCAAGACACAAAACAACATAATTGTAAAACTTCAGACATTAAAAAAAAAAAAGCATAATTGCACGACTTCAAATACAAAGTGACACAACCATCCAATTTCAGATATAAAACTACTAATATGTATCAGTAAAAAGACGGTACCTGTTTATCGCATTCTACCATTCTCAACTCTCGGACTTTTTGGGCATACTCCTCCCTGTCATCATAATCCAAGGGTTTTGGATTTCCGTCATCATCAACTTTGAGACTAACATGAGTGCCATCACTAAGTACCATGCTCCAGCTCCTTCCTGCGGCCAGGAAAGTATCCCGATCCATGCTGGCAAGGCTGTCTATAATTCTCACCTACAGAAAATGATTGAGATTTGCGATAATATTCTGCCATTGATAATGGCTTTAAGAATCTCTAGTGTGGAGTTTTGGGAAAGAAATAAGCAAATATAGGAGTCTCTGTGGTAAAGTGGTAAAGCCAGCGATCTAAAGGTGATGGGTTTGTTTCACAGCTGTGTTTTTCGGTTCACGGGTGCAGTTTTTATAGAGATTCCTTTGGATCAGTGCCAGAGCTATGGAGTTCACGCTTTGTGTGACACTTTTATAAGGCAGCTAGCCGTTCTGGGAAGAGAGACTGAGCCATATGGCATAAAAGCCTGTGCAATAAAGCTGATCCTCCTGATGTTAACTTTAACAAAGCAAATGCTGGAAACGGTCAGAAAGAGAAAGGTAAGGAGAAATGGAACCTCAGATCTTAATGGCACCCCACTCCAAGACATGTAGTTATACATCTATTTGGGCAGTAATGTAGATAAAGATGGAGGAACTGATAGAAATATTAAAATAAGAATACAAAAGGCAAGAGGGGCTTTCTTACCACTAGGGAATTTGTGGAGGTCAAAAGAAATACTAAAATAAAAATTTGTAATTCTTATGTCGAATCAGTACTATTGTATGGGGTGGAAACATGGAGAACAACTAAGACAATTACTAATAAATTACAGACATTCATTAACTGGTGCCTGCGCAGAATAGAGGGAATTAAATGGTATGATAGAATAACTAATGTAGAACTTTGGGAGAGAACTAAACAGGCTCCAGTGGACCAAGAGGTAAGGAAAGACGCTGGCGTTGGATAGGACACACACTGAGAAAACAGGAGAACAGCATAACTAGAATGTCTTTGCTCTGGAACCCACAGGGGCATAGGAATAAAGGAAGGACTAAAAAAAACATGGAGAATAAAGTTAGAAAGATGGGGAGGACATGAGGAGAGCTCCATGCAATGGCAAAGGATAAAACGACTTGGCGTGAGTTGGTTAAGGACCTATGCTCCATTGGGAGATAGAAAGGCAGAAGAAGAAAGAAGACATCTTATGAAATGGTCTGAAGGCCTAAAACTTTATACTCCAAAGGCTGTGGCTGTTATTGGTCCACCTTTACCAGAAAAAAAAAATTGCAGTGAATCAAGAGTAAAAGTCCCTGTGGCTGGAAATGACACACACTGAGAAAATCTAATAATAATATAACTAAACAGTCATTACAGTGGAACCCACAAGGCCAAAGAAATAAAGGGGAAAAAACCCAAACCACACACACAGAAGACAGGTTGGGATGCATAAGAGGAGATGGGGGATGAGGTTAGCTATATGTGATGACAAAGGATAGTGTCTGTGCTATATAGGGAAATGAAAAAGAGGAGGAAGAAGAAGAAGAGGAGAAGGAGAAGAAGAAGAAAATGAAGAATGGCTTCACAGATACATACCAATGTTATGTATAAAACAACACAGGTGTTAAAATCTATCAGCCTCCAACATACGTCCACATACAATGCTTTTACTTTTATGAAAACATATAACCCCATCAAATTTTATACACTTTAAAAAAAAAAAAAAAGATTAAACAAAATTACTACTGCAGTTGGTTTATCACATGATAAATAACTGCACATTGGCATCTACACAAGAATGCAATGAATGATCGACAAAAAGTAAAGCTGAATTATGTGGATGTGTGTTTATTTTTTTGTTTTTGTTTGAGAGGATAAAACACTAAACAGTTTTAGAGAATTTGGGCTGTACACTTGGGATGACAAATGAGGTGGTTTACCAGAGTCTCATAATCTCGTTCACAAAATGTGCAGGATTAAAGAAATTTAACCTCGATATCAATCAATTCTCTTTATGCCCTGTGGCACATGAGGAGAGCAGTTTTCCATGTCAGAGATACCGCATTTAGGTCACTCTCCGTGTTGTTTTTAGGCGCATTTTTTTTCTCTTTCCCTTTGGTATCCATGAGAGAGGTGTTTTAGTGGGTATATCAGGATTCATTCTCATAACATGGCCAAGCCATTTCCAATTTCTCTTGGTTACCATACTGTCTAGAGTTTGTTGGTTTGTGACTTGAAGTAGTTTAGTGTCTGAGACTGTATCTGGCCAGAAAAGTTTTATAATTCTACGTAGACATGTGTGGTGGAAGGTGGAATCTTGTGTGCATCCTTTTTGGCCATTCTCTAGCAACAGAATGCTGGATATAGACATACAACACATTAAATGATTGGACTGTCAAGAGCAGATTACCACCACAATTAGTACTACAACACAGAGACATATCTAACAGCTGCATAACATAATACTGATTAACTCAATAATTTTCTCATCATCTTTTAAATGTTAATGTCAGTCAGAACCATCATATAACCAAAGTTTACCTCTGCAGCGTCGACAGTTGCAAAGTCCTGCGACCAGTTGTAACTTTCCCCCACAAGACGCTTCCACACATACGGGGCAAGAGAAACAATCTGAAGATGACATAAACGTATTAGCTATAAAATACATGCAACTATTGAATGTACACATGTATTACATAATTCTTAGTAGAATGCAGTGAGAGTGCCATAAGAAAATAAAAAGATGTTAACATAAAACTAGATCTGAATTAACTATGTAAAACACATACTGGCTTGGCCTACAACATAAACCTCCTGTGTATTCAATGACACTTTCTCAATATTAATTAACAAGAATGGCACCAGACTGGCTGGGTTGTCATTTGTTCCTACACACATGAATACTTAGTGACTCAATGAATATGCTTAAGAAAATTCAGGCTGGATTTATCAGACAAGAACAGATAGGGCCACTAAGCATTTTGTAAATGGGTGGCCTAACCTTCACCTTTGCCGGGATATGCAGGTGTTCAAGGCAATGAGCATGCATATTATCTTGCAGATACTGCAGTTGATATGGCTGGTCTTGTACTGAAGAAGCGACGTTATGAAAGCCATGTGCAGTACATATCGCAAAGATCAACTCAGTAAAGGGCATGACTCCATATCCCTGTCTAGACTGATGGACATGGGAATAAGAACTGGAGCTGCAAGAAATGAATATTTTACCAGGGGTACCAAGATGTTTAATTAATCAACACAGAACAGGCATTTTACACTTGTGGACCCTTTGGGGGAGAAGACTGGAGCACCTATGGATTATATGCCCGTCTTGACTTTCCTCTGAGTATCAAGTATTGACCAGGTAGTCTCCTCGGCAACCACCCCTCCTCCCCTTTCTGTTGCATCACTCTCACCAGACTGTGGTGATCCATTTGCTCCTTCGAATCATACACGTTCTCCCACAAGGTCCTAACCCTGCATCAATGTTCCACCAAGTTGTGCAGAGCTAGCCAGTCTGTCCATCTGTTCATTTCCCAACACACTGGCACACCAGGAGAGAAACGATATAGACAATGCTCCTCACCTTTGACCTCCAAAGTGAAGCATGCCACTCAGCAGGAAGCATGCCTATTCTCACCTTCCTTTGACTAATCAAAATAATTTGCATGTGGCAGATCCGTTGCAGACAAACAACTGGTCTTACCAAATGAAAAGAGAAGGTCAATCAGACAGATGAATGGAGATGGTTGATATCTGTAGCAATGAACCTCTAGGACTCTGAAGCAATCCTAATTATGCCGGGAGGTCATGCAGTTTTCATGCAAGGCCACTAAGCCTTGGTCAGAACAACAGCAGCAGTAGTTCCAACAAATGCAAACAGAAAACATCATGAGTTGCATCCCTCAATTCCTGTGACCCAATTCCCCTGATCACACTGAACGAGAAAATTCCATGACAAGATTGGCCTTACCAGTCACTTACATACTCTTTACTTGGTAAGACTTAGATCAGGAGCATATTATAGATTTTCCGTCCAGGATATTCAGGTGTGCGGGATAATAAGCATGCTGAGATTGGATGCTGTCACTCCGCTGGGTGTTAAGCTACTTTATGATAAACAGATGTGGTGAAGGCTCCTTGGATCAAATGGACAGAGTAACAGATCAAAGAGACTCCATACAATGAAAGACTAATTCAATAGAGGGTGAGTAGAGCTTTTGGAAGAAATTCAACATTGATGGGGAAACACAGATGGACTTTAATCAGTTTGCAACTGGTAGTACTATTAGTGTGTCAACTCTTCATGACTTCTGAAGACCAAGTGAGGGAATGTGCAGAGTGCAGTGATGTTAATTCTTGATTCACTCCTTCATTACATACCCAAAAACCCACTCTAATAAACTGATGAAAGGACCGGTCATCATTGCTTGCTATGGGTGAACAACAACAGAGTGACATCTGGAGGGTCTTTAATTAAAATGTTTCACTTCTGACTAAGTATCTCAACCACATAGTTATTTACATGACATATGCAGGTCTTACCAACAGCTCTTTTCCTCTGAAACAAGCACCCATCAGCTGTCCAATCCACTCATATTTTCCGAAGTCGGTGCAAGAAGGGTTCGGAATGTAGCAGTCCCGATTCACATTGCCATCTTCATTACTCTACAGAAAGAAAGAGAGAGAGAGAGTCAAAACCTCAATGACTAATCGGATGTAACGATTAATTAAATCAATAAATAAATAGGGTGCCATCTCCACAGTGAAGGTTGGTTGTAGTAGATCTCCAACACTCTCAGTCTCTTGTCTCAGTTATACACTCTCCTTGATTGCTGTTTGTCAATCTCTTGATACTGTACTCCCATTTGTGTCACTGTCCACTTGATACTCTCTTGCGTTAGGACTTTTTCCTTCCAGTAAAGTTGTTCACTCTTTCAGGACAGCATTTTATCTGGGGGTTTGGACAAAACTAATTTTAAGCTGATTTTTTTTTTAAACCACAACATGACAAAGTTAAAACCTTCCTAAAGAAAAAAAATATTGGCTGTCGTTTGACATATAATATATTTCAAATTAAAGAGAAGTGAAAATAGAATACACATAAACTTGTTAAGGATCAGTATTACAGATGAGTATCATACGCCAGATTTAAGGATGTTAGATACATATGAAGAATTTTTACACATGAAATGTTTTGCTTACCTTACTTTCTTATTTGATCAACAAGACTGCTATCCATTTCTAAGAGTTGACATGTCTTCTCTATTCAGTTATGTATCATCTAGTCTTTATTTTAGACAAGTTTTAATCTAAATATTGATTTTATGACTTCTGTGTGAGGTGACAAATTTCACAAGACACAGCTGACAGAAACATGGATGACCCGATTGAAATATTTTATTCAACTTCATCCCAACCTATATTATCATCAATAGGTCTGGCACTAGTATTAATAATCATAAGGTAAAGACTATTGTCACTATCTGGCTGAAATTCCTCAATAACAGCAGTAGTATGGACAGTTCTAGACCTTTTCCCTTATCATTTGGTCTTGAAAATCACATACAAATTGTATCACATTGATTAAATTAAAAACAAATAAAAGATTAAATCTAACACCTCACCATGCTCGGAAAACAATAGTACTTCCTTTAGCTAATTCTAGTTATTCAAACATGCATATAAATTTTTTTTCCTAGCAAACAAAACAGTATTATGTATATGGCCAGAGCCACTCAAGTGGCTATACATCCAAACCTGATGGATTCAGCGGCCACTTAAGTGGCGATACATTCTCAAATAATCTTTAAGAGAGTTTGGACTTTTCATGTGGCCGAAACATTTCATTTGCCTCTTTTATTTCTTTCAGTAACTCATCTTTTTTAAAATTCCCAGGCTATCCAGAACTCAAGGATTCACTGCACTGTATCACAGTCTCTCCACCACCCAAGGATTCATTGCACTGTAGCACAGTCTCTCCATCACCCAAGGATTCATTGCACTGTAGCACAGCCTCTCCATCACCAAAGAATTCATTGCACTGTAGCACGGTCTTTTCACAATCCAAGGATTCATTGCACTGTAGCACAGCCTCTCCACAATCCAAGGATTCATTGCACTGTAGCACAGCCTCTCCACCACCCAATGATTCATTGCACTGTAGCACAGTCTCTCCACCACACAAGGATTCATTGCACTGTAGCAGTCTCTCCACCACAAAAGGGTTCATTGCACTGTAGTACAGTCTCTCCACCACCCAAGGATTCATTGCACTGAAGCACAGTCTCTCCACCACACAAGGATTCATTGCACTGTAGCACAGTCTCTCCACCACACAAGGATTCATTGCACTGTTGCACAGTCTCTCCACCACAAAAGGGTTCATTGCACTGTAGTACAGTCTCTCCACCACACAAGGATTCATTGCACTGTAGCACAGTCTCTCCACCACACAAGGATTGATTGCACTGTAGCACAGTCTCTCCACAACCCAAGGATTCACTGCACTGTAGCACAGTCTCTCCACCACACAAGGATTGATTGCACTGTAGCACAGTCTCTCCACAACCCAAGGATTCACTGCACTGTAGCACAGTCTCTCCACAACCCAAGGATTCACTGCACTGTAGCACAGTCTCTCCACAACTCAAGGATTCACTGCACTGTAGCACAGTCTCTCCACAACCCAAGGACAATGTACTTGATAATTTAGTACATCTACAGATTTATGTTATTTAAAACAATGCTTTTTCCCAATGTTTAAAAAAAAACATAATGAAGGGAAATGTTGAAGACAAGAGAGCAAGAGATACACAATGATATAAGTGGGATGACAACATAATAATTAAGTATATCTACAGATTGTTATTTAAAACAATGTTTTTCTTGATTTTTTCTTTTTTAAAAACCATAATGAAGGGAAATGTTAAAGGCAAGACAGCAAGAATACACAACAATATAAGTGGGAGGACAACATCAAGAGATGGAAAAACAGCAGTCTAAGAGAGTTTACAGTCAAGACCAAGATAAAGAGAGTGTTAGAGATCCGTAGCAGCCAACCTTCAATGAGGAGAGGGCACCTTACTGACTCACTGAATTCTGAATGTAAATTTAAATAATCATCAGTCAGCAAGTCCTTTACAGAACGTCGCTCTCTCTACGGCACGCCTGAAAGTATCCCTTTCCCTAGCCAGCTCTCCGGCCGTATGTGCTTTCAATGCCTTGTATCCATCTTTGCGGTGGTCGACCCCTGCCTCACCTTCCACAAACTGCACCTTCCATCACCGTCTTTTTCAAGCCACCATGACGCTTGATGTGGCCAAAATTTAAATAATACACTAAATAATTTATGCCTGGCACATTTCACTGTATCTCATCAGGTGCTTTACTACAGTTACATTAACATTTAATGAAGCACTAAAATGAAAACTTTTTGCTGATATAGACAAATTTAACCACTAACCTTAAAGCCACAGAGGCGCTTTGGTATAGAAAGAGTAAACATTTTAAAACTCCAGAGAGAAACTGCCTAACCAACCAGTATACCAGTCAAAAAAGACAACCAACATATCACGACCGTTTTAAATACCTGGTTGGGTGTCCTGACAAAAAAGGGCAGGGGCATTGGGGCATCAGGATCAGAAGGGCACAGCTCCTCTGCAATATCCGACAGACTGTCCCTAAATCCACCTCCTTGATCAATGATGCCCTCGGATAAGAACTTGCATTCCCACCACTGGTCATTCTGTGTTGACCACCTTTAAGAGATTTAGAAGAAAACAGCAAAAGAAAATGACGACAAACAGAACTGTTTTGTTTTAAAAAACAGTAAAACTTTGTTATTACGAATTCCAAGCAGCCAAAAAATCAGGAGTTTGTGTTAAAAACAACTGTTTGCTAACCAGGAATTAATAATAATACCTCCTTGCCAGAACAACATTTTTTTCAAGTTAATAGTGTTCTTCTTAAGCAAGTTCATGCTAACAGTGTTATTCTGAAGCAAGTTCATGTTAACAGAGTGTTCTTCTTAATCAAGTTCATGTTAACAAGGTTTTCTGTATGTATTTAAAAAAAGGTTACAATCGAGAGAACTGATTACATTGCACCGGGTTTTCATCCAACATGGCTCAGTCTCTCTCAACAGTATGACTGGCCACCTGCCAAGAGCATCATACAAACAATGAACACTATAGTTCAACTAATGAGAGGGATGATCCTCAGTGATCTCTGTAAATCTAGACTGATGAACCAAATGACACAGCCATGAAACAAACCAACGACCTTAAGAGCATGCTTGCCTGCTGGTCCAGTGGTCATGTGTTCACACACTCACTCTGGTGGGATTTTTAAACTGTCCTGGGTTTCCAGGTTGACCTGCCTTAAAAAGAAGTACTAAGTTACATTCTGAAAACATCAGTGATGATTTGATTCTTCTCCTTCTTCTTTTGCCCTATATATCCCAATGGAACAAAAGTTCTCAACCAACTCACGTCATTCTGTCCTATCCTTTGCTACTGCCTCCCAGGTCGACCCAGCTTTGAGTGGGTACCAGGTGCAGTCCTGGGAAGTAAAGGTGACCAGTGTGATGTTGACCACATCACCCACCAAGTGCTGACTGGTCTACAACACATAGGTCTAACCCTATATGCCCAATTTGTACAAAGGCGTGGAAAAGGGTCATTTTTACTTGTGCTATTGCAAGCAGTTCACCCCATGTCCTAGTCATCTTTTGAACGTTACTCTCTAGTTCCCTGCTCCATGTGTGTTTTTGTCTGCCTTATTTGTATACCTGTGTGGGTTGAGTGCTGACTGGGTTTTAACAATATGGTAAAAAAAAAAAAAGTAAAGGACCCTTTTCCATGCCTTTAGGCGTTTAGGGCATATAGGGCTAGACCTATATTTTTATACACCAATCGGCACAAGATGGGTGATGTGGTCAGCATCACGCCAGCCGCCTTTACTTCCCAGAACTGCACCCGGTACCCACTCAAGGCTGGGTCGACCTGGGAGCCAAATTCATTTTTTTAAATAGTCCGGCTCCACCAGGGAGCGAACCCACCACCTTCCGATCCACGGTGAGCGTCTAGCCGCTTGGCCACGGCGACTCCCCATAACAATATGGGGCTGCCATTTAACAACCAATACACATCTTCCTCCTCTTCTTCTCTTCTACCTTGTACCTCAGCAAAGTGTCGGTGAGGGGGAGAGCATTCATTGATGAGCTCTGTCAAGGAAAAAGAAAAAAATGTGCCTTAGGTAGATTACCTGTATGACAGAGGTGGAGAATTCCTGTCCCTTGGCTTCAAGCCCTCAAACAGCTGCATGAAGACTGTATTACTAAAGTCGGCACTGGCAGAAGGGTTGGCTCGGTGAGCAAGAGCAGCATGACGATTGATGTAGACAACCTTGCGATCAGATGGACTGCATTTTTTGGAAGGATTTAAAAAAAATAAAATTGCTTTTCACTCAAATCCTTGTTAAAATTGTTTGATTAGTATGTATGTTATAGAAAACAATGAAAGGTAAATAGTGTTTACCTTTGCTACAATACAAAGGCAACATTACAACTGTGAGCATAATTATGCAATTCATTAAGTAAAAGTTTAAAGTCTTTGATTAACTATTCTACTTTAAACAGTAAAAGTTAAAAGTCCTTGATTAACTATACTACTTTAAACAGTACAATTCAAAAGTCTTTGATTAACTATTCTACTTTAAACAGTAAAAGTTAAAAGTCTTTGATCAACTATACTACTTTAAACAGTAAAAGTTAAAATTCTTTGATCAACTACACTACTTTAAACAGTAACAGTTAAAATTCTTTGAATAAATAAACTACTTTAAACAGTAAAAGTTAAAATTCTTTGATCAACTACACTACTTTAAACAGTAACAGTTAAAATTCTTTGAATAAATATACTACTTTAAACAGTAAAAGTTAAAAGTCTTTGATTAACTATGCTATCATAAACCTGAGGTATCATGCAGGAGACTCAGGTTCAAATTTTTAGTAAGGTCATGGATTTTTTTCTGTCAGGGCAAAAATTATTAAATCTTGCAAAATATGCAGTGACAACACTAGCCATGTAGCCGTAAATCCTCACTTATGATTTTATTTCACTGGCACCGAATAAAGCAGTTCCTTGTACATCACTGATTGTTGTGAAGGGGTTGAAACATTCACCTCTCAGGCTCAAAGACTTGACTCTTTTAAAGAACTACCATGGTGAGTGTTGACAGTTGACTTAAAATATTTCCACATTTTGTCAAGGATTCCTCTTTTGATTAAAAAAAAAATAATTATCCCCTTGGTATCTCTTCTAGCCTTTTGGTAAAGATGTTGTCATCTACTCTTCTCGTTTTTAACCATTAAAAAAAACACAAAAAAACATTAGTTTTTCTTCCTTGACAGAAACTTTTACTTGTTTATTCCACTTTACTGTTGTCATTCTTTTACCTCCATTTTTAGTAACACCACATTTGTCTTCTAGTTAGCAAAGTGTTTTTGAAAAGCTGAACCCTCGTGTCCATATTACCAATGTTCCATTTCTCTCTTTGTTGGTCAAAAGCTGTTTTCATCTGCTGTTTTATACCTAACTTGATCTCTTCATCTTTCAATTTATTTATTGTTAATTACTTCTGTAGCTTTGTTTGGGGAATTTTATAGAAAAATGTATTTCCTATGTACAATACATCTGGGTAACTAAACATACACTAGTATATGAAGTACCCCAGCGTCTGTGGCTTAGGCGTTGCAGTCGCAAGGACGGTGTTCCGGGTTCAATCCTAGCTGCAGGCCATGAACCTTATAATGCGTTTTCAAAGTGGTTTAGAGAAGCCGACCGTCCAGAAAGCAATGGCAAACTACCGATTGTAAATTTGCCTAGAAAAACCACAACAGCTAAAAAAAAATGCTGGGGTTGGTTCTGCAATGTCCTGTAAAGGATATGCAATTAACTGGGGATCTGATCTGATCGCAGCCTGGCTTATACTGAGCACATAGACAAGGCGATAATAAAAGCCAAGAACGGCTTGGCTGCAAAGAGAATGAGGGCGGTGGCATTTATGTCATCATGGTCTGGTCCTTTCTGTCTTTCAGTATTCGATGGCGATATAGAATATAAAAATATCTAGCATCAACAATCACCATTTCCATATTGGCGAGATACTGATCTTAAGTTGCAGCGTGTTTCTACAGAGACCAGACTTTTATCAATCAATCTTCTTCTTCTTCTCTAGTCCTGTTCTGTCTTTCAGGCTGTTTTCATTTCATAAGAATTGTCGCAGGAGCTACAGAGCACATGCTCTGCACTTGACGTCATCTTCAGTGCTGGATCTGCACCACCGGGTGGTGAATTGATACAAGGCAGATGTGGTCAAGGCCCTTTGGAAACAAGCAACAAAATTGTAGAGGAACAAGATTATTATGGCCTGGAGAGAATTAGGTCAGAGGGTCTGGCTGGCTCACTACACTCAGAGGGAAGGCAAAACAGGACATATAACCAGATTGCGACCAGTACCATTAGTATTGGAACTTTGCGCTGGTTGCTAAGATGAGGACGGAGCATGCATGGGAATGCCCCGAATTCTGTGATGTCAATTCTTGACTCAACTCAACTTAACTCAACTGCCTTCCAGGTTCTAAAAATGCACTGTGTGTGATTTAGATATTGGATAAGACCCACTGTCCCCTAACAAGTATGTCCTAAGAGTCAACTAATGAGGGATGTTTGATTCTAAGTGAGAGGCATTTGCCTAAGAGGCAAGGAACCAACAGTCTGCATACGAATAAGCCAAATCCGTAAAATGCATGTTCACACAAACTCAGGTTCTGGAACAAGACTAAAATCCAGAAGTGGATGAAAAACCCAGAACGCTCCACCGGAGCTTACAGCCGGGGAACGTGTAGAAGAAGAAAGCCAAATAGTAATTGCCAGTTAATATTACTGAAGCAGTCTGGTCTTTGAAAGCCAAATAGTGGAGTGAATGGAAATATTTGTAGTAAGAATAACCTGTCAACTTAAAAACATTAATGAACAAAAGATATGCTTACTCTGATGCAGACCCTTTCAGAAGTGTGTCTATAAGGGCCAGGCGTTTCTTCAACAATGGCAGAAGTTGACGAATGCTCTGGAAAAAATTAACACATTAATCTGTAATAAAACTAGCTTGTCAAAACAAAACAAAAATACATAAAAAGGCAAAATAAAAAAAGACAGACCAAAACCACAACAAGAAGGGAGCTAGAGAGTGCAGAAGGAAAACAGTAAGCATACAAAATCAACTTAAAGAATCAGTGGTTTAGCATACATTCATAGAGTCATTGAATGAGATCTGATGGTAACAATCAACAAAATAAGCAAAAACAAATGTAAAAGTATTACAAGATTTATAACAAGAAACAGACAGGCAATAAGCAGTGAACAAGCATACTAAATTCAGTTCTTATGGATGGATTGCACACATGCAATGAAGTTGGTCTCCTGTAAGTTACCAGGATTATTAGAAGTACAGAACAGTTACCCTTGCCCTATCAAGTATGCAATAACAGGCAACTAAAGATACAGGTTGGTTTCGGATAAAAAGGTGCAGCCACAAAAGCCAATCAACTTTCATCGTCACCCTATTGTGCCATTACATGTCATACAGGGTCGCAGTCTATTCCTCCATTTGAATCTATCCTGTGCAATTGGTTTAATTTCATGGGTGGAATTCAGTACCTTCAGCTTCTCTCATCAATGTTCGTTTTAGGCTTTCTTTTGAATATCCTCGCTTCCTCGAACCTTTCCCTCCCTTTTTTTAGTACCTGCTTGGTTATCATTTCATTGCCTGCTGGATGACTTTCTGCTCGTTTCTTTCTCAGGATGTGTCTAATTCAGCACCATCTACTTTGTCTTGTAACTGTTGAGTCCTATTCACGTTTCCCAGCCCATCTACACACTGGCTGACTTTCATTCATACTTACTCAGATTGTTCTACATCAGAGGGGTGTCACGTTGTCTTGCCTCCAATTAATCAGCGCCGATGTCGTGTATTTCATATTACACGACGACACAACTTTTAACGAAATCAGAACATCTAGAACTGGCCCTAACCTAAAACCCCCTACACACAGCCTGAGCCTAGGTACACGAAAGACTCTTTTCAAAGAAAACATTACAACGTGACACCCCTCTGACCTAGACCAGACTGAAAAAGTGTGTAGATGGGCCGGGAAGCGTGAATGGAACCAACTGTTGTAACCAGTGGTTACTCAGACATTTCTCTGATTTCTTCAACCTTCTTCAACCCACCCCATTCTATGTTCAATATTTTCCTTAGGCATTTGTAAGGTTTTGTCTCAACTGGCTGAAGGCCTATGAGGCTCGGGGGCCTGGAAAGGTAGTGAAATAATGCAATCCTCAATGTTTACTGGGGATCCATTCCTGCAGTGGATGGTTAAGTAAAAGCTGATGGAATATTTTATGTGGTGGTACTACATGTGTACAGCAAACTTATTGTGCCCGACTACTTCCATCAATGACAAACTGTGTTCATGGTGGTGACTGCATGGTGGCGACTGCTGACTTTGGCTCCTCTAGCAACTGCTATATGCATTTACTCCGTGCAAATATTTCTGGATTGTTCCGGAACTAACTGTTTGTTCACCAGTTTTTCAAATGGGACAGTCAGGGAGTGGAGTGAAGTGGAGCAAGCATGGGGGAACCCGACTGCAGTGAAGTTGAAACCTCGTTTATAACAACTACGACTTAGTAAAAGACCATTCTTGCGGCTTTTAGTGATATGAAAATCACAAGTAATACTCCACAGTCAGTAGTGAATACACTGCAGACAACTTCTATTGTGGAGATAGGAGAAGTTGTTTTAAATGCCCCATTAGGGAATAAAATACATAAGATGGAATGACATGAAGATGGTCTTTGAAAGCCGAATAGTAACTGTTAGTCAATACTAAAGCAGTCTGAGATGATCACGTAATATCAAGAATTAACCCTGTCATCCCAGGAGAGACAGTTTTTGAACTTTTAGACAGGTCGTATGATTATATAAGGATTACACTTTATGTCACTGGGTGTTTATCGCTTGTGTGATGTCCTGGTGGTGTACAACAAGCAAGCAACACAAAAAAGCTTAACTAAGGGGACAAAACCCCACACAAATGCAGCTGTACATTTAGACCAAAACTGTTAACTAAGGAAAAGACTTCTTCTTCAACTTTCCCTGCTGTCAACTCTAGCAGAAAGCCCAGGCTGTTCATCCACTTCTTCAACTTTCACTGCTGTAAACTCTAGCTGTTCATCCACTTCTTCAACTTTCCCTGCTGTCAACTCTAGCAGAAAGCCCAGGCTGTTCATCCACTTCTTCAACTTTCCCTGCTGTAAACTCTAGCTGTTCATCCACTTCTTCAACTTTCCCTGCTGTAAACTCTAGCTGTTCATCCACTTCTTCAACTTTCCCTGCTGTAAACTCTAGCTGTTCATCCACTTCTTCAACTTTCCCCGCTGTAAACTCTAGCAGAAAGCCCAGGCTGTTCATCCACTTCTTCAACTTTCCCCGCTGTAAACTCTAGCAGAAAGCCCAGGCTGTTCATCCACTTCTTCAACTTTCCCCGCTGTAAACTCTAGCAGAAAGCCCAGGTTGTTCATCCACTTCTTCAACTTTCCCTGCTGTAAACTCTAGCAGAAAGCCCAGGCTGTTCATCCACTTCTTCAACTTTCCCTGCTGTAAACTCTAGCAGAAAGCCCAGGCTGTTCATCCACTTCTTCAACTTTCCCTGCTGTAAACTCTAGCAGAAAGCCCAGGCTGTTCATCCACTTCTTCAACTTTCCCTGCTGTAAACTCTAGCAGAAAGCCCAGGCTGTTCATCCACTTCTTCAACTTTCCCTGCTGTAAACTCTAGCAGAAAGCCCAGGCTGTTCATCCACTTCTTCAACTTTCCCTGCTGTAAACTCTAGCAGAAAGCCCAGGCTGTTCATCCACTTCTTCAACTTTCCCTGCTGTAAACTCTAGCAGAAAGCCCAGGCTGTTCATCCACTTCTTCAACTTTCCCTGCTGTAAACTCTAGCAGAAAGCCCAGGCTGTTCATCCACTTCTTCAACTTTCCCTGCTGTAAACTCTAGCAGAAAGCCCAGGCTGTTCATCCACTTCTTCAACTTTCCCTGCTGTAAACTCTAGCAGAAAGCCCAGGCTGTTCATCCACTTCTTCACTTTGCTCTTGTTCCAAGACTTGAGTTAGCTAGTCTTTCCTCTTGAGCCCAGGGTGGCGCATAGGGCAGGGGTCATAACTCTACATGTCTGGAGGTGGATTGCCATCTGTTTTAGGTCTTGGATGTTCATTAAGCCCATGGCTGAGCCTACCCTGATGATGGTTCTATGCAGGGTCTCTCTTGGTTTTCCCCGTTTTCATTTCCCTTCTGGTGTCCATATGAGGGCTTGATGGGGGAGTCTGGTCTTATCCATTCTGAGTGAGAGGTGCATATTACAGATTTGGCTTACATGTGTGCCGACTGCTAGTTTCTCATCTCTCCGGAAGACAGGATGTACTCAACAACACAGAAAAAAACCTGATTCTATCAACGGTGACCATACTCCTAGCTAGAAAGATGTTTCTAGGATGACCACAGGGAGGTGCGGATAGGTCTTTACCAGTATGAGCCCTCAACATGGTGCATCACCTTGTGTACTTCAGCACCACTGCATCCCAAAGGACAATACAACAGAATTACTTACTTCCAGGCTGGTTAAGGACTGATTCTCCACATGACCACATCCCTCAATGGAAGACTGCCAGCTTGGAATCAGATACTGGATGACACTGTCCAGCAGCCACGTGAACCTGGGCACATTCAATTGAGTCTGATTTTACCAAAAGTAAGAGCCACTAAAGAATCTGAGGTAGGGGCTACATGCTTGCTTTTCATACTGAATGTCTAGCGTTCAAATTATCATAAAAGCAAATAGACATTGGCTCCCAGGTCAACCCAGCCTAAAATGAATGTTGAATTAAGAATTGACATCATAGCATTTTGGGCACTCTCATAAGTGCTCCGTCTCCATCTTCAGAAGCAATACTATATAACAGACAGGAGACGGCTGTGGCAACACTTGATCTTGAGGATGCCTACAAAACAGTCAGATATGATATTTTGATATCTGCGCTCATAGAGAAGGGGTTTTGTCCCAGCCTAAAATGGGTGCTGTCAATATCCTGGAAAGTTATGTCGGACAATGTGATGTTGACCACTTTTTTCTTTTATAAGCCACTTGAAAATATGCCAATCTTAGAAATCATACTGCTCACAATAATCTAAACTTGAAGAACATATTTTCATCAATTCATTTTTCTTCCTTTGCTCTTTACTACCCCCCTAACCCCCCCCCCTTTTTTGTTTTGTTTTGTTGTTAGATACTTTATTTAATTGTTTGTGCTCCCATCAAGTTGACAGAGTTATTGCTACTGTAACTCTTTCTGTCTCATATTGTTATTTTGAACTGCACTAAACATGGTGTAGTATTACTGTGTCTGTAATGCTGGCTTTCTTAGTGACTTTTGCATCAACATAAGCTATAATTCTGGCGGGAGACTGTTAGTGTCGCATATATGACGGCTGCATTTACTTTGTGTGTGCTCCCAGTTACAATTCTGGTGGCAGACTGTTAGTGTTGTATATCTGACAGCTGCATTTACTTTGTGTTTGCTCCCAGCTGCAATTCTGGTGGGAGACTGCTGGTGTTGCAAATGTGATGGCTGCATTTATTTGCGTGTGCTCCCAGCTACAATTCTGGTGACAGACTGTTAGTGTTGCATACCTGATGGCTGTATTTACATTGCTTGTGGTCAAAGCTACAATTCTAGTGGCAGACAGTGTCGCATACCTGACGGCTGTATTTACTTTGCGTGTGCTCCGAGCTACCATTCTGTTGGCAGACAGTGTTGCAAATCTGATGGCTGCATTTACTTTACGTGTGGTCCCAGCTACAATTCTGGTGGGAATCTGCTAGTGTTGCAAATGTGATGGCTGCATTTATTTGCGTGTGGTCCCAGCTACAATTCTGGTGTCAGACTGTCAGTGTTGCAAATCTGATGGCTGTAGTTACTTTGCGTGTAGTCCCAGCTACAGTTCTGGTGGCAGACTGTTAGTGTTGCATATCCGACAGCTGCATTTACTTTGCATGTGCGAGTTTCTACATGTTGCTGGGTCTAATATGTTTTTCACTCGTTTTTCAAATGGGTCAGGGAAGAACATTTTGTGTGATTCCCAAGAACAGAGCAGTTATGTGCTGACCTGCCTACAGTGATGCTGTAACCTCGTCCAAGGACTGACCAATACTGTTATTATTTTAACTTTCAGACTCAATGGAAGTTGCCATGGCATAGCTGGCTAGAGGCTCATGTGCAGATCGTCCTTGGTTCGCTCCCTGGCAGAGCCGGACTTTTTGTCATAAATAATCTCAACTCCTAGGTGGACCCAGCCTTGAGTGGGTATAGGGTGCAGTCCTGGGAAGTGAAGGCGGCCGGCGTGATGCTGACCACATCACCCATCTTGTGCCGATTGGCCTATAAAAAATATAGGTCTAGCCCTATATGCCCTATACGCCTAAAGGCGTGGAAAAGGGACCTTTACTTTTTTAACTTTTCAGACTCAAATATTCAATACTTAAATGAACCCTTTCTGTTTTATGGGAATGGAATCAGACAAAGTAACACTTATCTGAAACTGAAAACAGTTAAAGAAATCATTAAATCTATTATGCAGCTATAATCTAATACACATCAACATGAGTCATTGGTCAACTTTTACAATAAAAACAACAAACTATAACTTTAAAAAATGCGGACACAAACAATGCATTGCACAATCTATTGCCTGGCATATTTCGCTGTATCTTGTCAGGTACATTTATACAGAGTTACATCAACATTTAATGAAGCACACACACACACACAAAGGAATTATTATCACTAAAATGCACAGCAACATTGTCTAGTTACACTGCACAACACTCCACCAGAAATTCCAAATACTGCAAACTATGCTAATAAATTATGCAATGTACTGCTTGTGTCTGCATAATTTTTAACTGCAGTAATAAAACCATATTTTCAATTTGTAACTACCTTTGTAAAACGATTGAGCGCTTGTAGATAACAGAGGGGCTGTATGACTGTAACAATGGGTATCGGACCAAGCGGTCGCCAGAGAAGAAATCTTGGTCAAACCCCAAACTACGCTCCTCTATACAGTTAAGCTTTAGTCCTCTCACACGAGTATCAATGCCATGAGCTGTTGAAAAAAAGTAAAAAGTAAAGGTCCCTTTTCCACGCCTTTAGGCATATAGGGCTAGACCTATATTTTTATAGACCAATCGACACAAGATGGGTGATGTGGTCAGCATCATGCCAGCCGCCTTTATTTCATGGGACTGCACCCGGTACCCACACTCAAAGCTGGCTCAACCTGCGAGTCAAGGTGTTTTTTGAAAAATGTCAGGCTCCACCAGGAAACGAACCCACAACCTTCCCATCTGCATGTGAGTGTCTAGCCACTATGCCATGGCAACTCCCTGAACTGCCAAACAAGGTAAATGTAGAAAACAAAGTCTGTATATGACCAAACAGAGAAATACCTATTTCTCTTAAGGCAAATCTAATAATCATTTTTTTCAGAAATTATTTGTCTACATTCCTCTAAAGTTCTTCTTTATGTCATACTCCATCACTTGTGAGGTTTTTTTCTTGTTCTGTAGAAGTTACATACTTAAACTTCAGTCCCCTCACATGAGTGTCAATGCCATAAGCTGCTAAACAAGGCAAAAATAAAGAAAAAAAAGTTTGCACGTTCTGAGAGAAATAACTATTTTTACGAGGGCAAATTTACTAACTATTTTGTGTGTGGACATTATACCACCAGTTTTTCAAACAACTAGAACTGTCATTACTGTCTGTATGTACAACTTGTTAGGGCGGTGCAGACATGGCATCATGAGCCTGAAGGTTTAAGGCCGCAGGCTGGTGCTGTTGTCATTGACTGTGAAGGTTAGGATGTTTAGTTTTGCCCCCGGCATAAAAACTCCATCATCTTACCGGGGGTTGAACCCGGGTCTCCCACATGAGAGCCCGATGTTGTAACCAAAATAAAAAGCAAACAGCTAATCTAACAATAGATTCAATGTTTTGGTCATCTGATAAGCATGCCCTGGTAGTAACCACCACAAAGTGCCATGCTGAAGAAATATAATCAGCACAGAACAAGAGAAAGACTTCACAAAAGATGGAGGAACGGCATCAAGATCAATCTTGCATTAAGATCAATTTTAGACAAATGCAGACTACCCTATACAGTGCAATAGAAAGAGTGCATATATCTTTACAAAGCACATAAAATTTATTGAGAGAACTGCATGAGGAGGGAGAGAAGAAGAAGAAGAAGAGGATGAAGAAGAAGAAAAAAGAAGAACATTAAATAGGAAGAAGAAAAAGAAGATAAGGAGGAAGAGAAAAAGAAGAAGAAAATGAAAAAGGAGAAGAAGAAGAAGTTTCCTCTCTGGGATAATCATTAACGGAAGATTTAGAAATTTTCCACTTCTAGCCGAATTTTTAATCTATGCAGATTTCAAACCAGCGTGTGATGTTGAACATAATCAGTCAGCATTTAAAAGTGTCTGCTGAAAATCTGGATAATTATTTCCCTGAAAATGAGAATCCTCATAAAGCAAACTTTGGATTGATAATCCCTTCTTGAAAGATAAAATATCACAAAATAAAAAGCTGATGGAGTTAACTTTTACAAAAACTTATTTAACCAAGCATAGGTTGAATAAATAACAAACACAACAACAATTACAAACATATTAGGCTGTTACACTGTGTTTAGAATATAACAAACATTTAAGAAAGAGATATGATTGGTCAGTTCCAGCTGTATTACACATAATACACATAAATAATCAGAAAGAGAACCCTTAAGGCTGTAGAAATATTTTACATATAATAAACAGACAGACAATGTATTGACTGGCACTCATAGACAGAAATTGAAAGATAGAAGGACACACTAGTAAAAAGACTGAGGAACACTTGTCAAGTACGTCAAATACCCAATGTACCAGTGACATGAAAAAATCCTTGACAAATTACTTCAATTTACTAGTTTACAGATTAATCATCACTTAACCCTGTCTGCAAAATAAACTAAAATTCTAAAGTGAAATAGGGTATTAGTTTGCCAAAAACCCAAAGTGCCTTTGCCCTTTGGGAGCGAGTAAGCAGTGCTGAGGTGCAGATAGATCATTACCGTTTAAGAAGAATGGCGCTACCAGGAGTTACCAAGGGATTTGGCCGATGTTTAACACTCAGGGGAAGTATTAGACGAATATACAATTAGATGGTTACTGGTACCATTAGAGCTGGAACTCTTCGTTTGCTGCGGAAGATGGGGACTGAGCACTTATGGGAGTGTTGTGAGTGCTGTGATGTCAATTCTTAATTCAACGTTTCTCATTTTAAAAAGTGGGAACTCCACAATACAGCTGTGACAGACAAGCCCACTCACATTTGCAAGACTTGATTCTGATAGTGACAATGGGGAAATGCTCTGTCAGATTCTCCAACAGCTTGATCTCTGTCAGTGTCTGTGTTGACCTGGTGAAATAAATGCAGACTGACCAGCAATGCCATCAATATATCACTGGAACTACAACAGAGTCAACTAATTGCTTGATCCTTGTTTTTACCCCATTGTGGATTCCAGGGCCCCATTGGAGGAAAAGGGGGGGGGGGGCGGAGGGGGAGGGGGACAGACTCACTGTTCCCTAATGAGCATGTCGTCAGAGTTAATTAATTAGAGATGTTTCCTTCAAAGTCGGAGTGCATCAGCCTAAGATACAAGGAACCAACAGTCTGCATAAAATAAGCCTGACCTGTAAAACAGATATGCATGCAAAGCTCAGGTTTTAAAACAAGACTAAAGTCTGGAAGTAGATGAACAACCAAATCTTTCAACCGGAGTTTACAGCTGGTGAACGCAAAGAAAAAGAAGAAAAATTTTTTTGGAGAAAATCCTGTTTTAGCAATGAAATTTGTTTCTCTGCTTTAAGACCTACTTCATTCTGACCTTTTTGGAGGAGAAATTCACAAGCGCACCTTGGGCACACTGCAAAGTATCAAATAACTGCCCTGAAAATGCACTTAGGTAAAAATAACCAAAAACTGCACGTAGGTGACTTTGGCATAATGCAGACGATATACTGACACAGGTGCACACTGCGGAAAAAACTACCTGAGCTGTTACAGAAAGAATTCATTTAGATTTGCTGGCTAGCTTGTTGTACCCCACCAGGACATCACACAAGCGATAAACACCCGGTGACACAAAGTGCCACCATGCGGATAAGGATCACACATGAAGAAGTCACAGAAACCCCTTTCAGCCACTATGGCCACATTTGTGGCCCAGCTATATTCAGGGATCCTGGCAAAAGCCAGGCTGGGGCTTCAAATAACGAAAAAATTCATCCCACAAGGGGGCGGCTTTGATTTTTTGCAAGCACATTTAGGTCTTTATAACTGTTAGTTATGAGTTTAGGTCATCCCTAAGGTACTCTGGATACCACAAATATGTCAACTGCAGTGAGGGAAAACAAAAGAATCAAAGTGTCATGTAGAACACACACTGTTTTATGCATGTGAGTCTTGGACAATAAGCAGACAAGCTGAACAAATTTACCCCTAACAGAGATGTGGTTTTTGAGATAAATGCAAAGGATGGCTCAGGCAGAAGACACAATCAGACAGGTTTGCATCCTTGAGAACGTTAATCGAGGAGAAGAGTGGGTCAAAATGCCACCTGAACAGTCAGACTTGTGTAGAGTCATAATCATGCTGAGCCGGGAATGCAGAGACTGGCCAGCAGGTGCTACAGAGGTGGAAATTCAGCAGTTAATTCAAGATAATGCTTGCTCAGAGGATTTGATCATTTACACAGACGGTTCAGTGTCAAGAGGCAAAAGAAGTGCTTGGGGCTTCTTAGCAAAAGTTAATGGTCGACGTTTGGTGCAGGAGAGCCTAGCATATGATACCACAACATTCAGCTAAGGAATTGAGGTGGAGGTGGTCACTGCTGCTTTCCACTGGCTAGAGAACACGACACACTCATACATCAAGATTAAAACTGATTCAGAAAGCATGCTGAGGAAGATCAGAACAGGTATGCTTCGTGCAGAGTGGTATGCTTCGCTGCGGAGGACACGAGTGAGGAGTATTGTCTGGATTTTTTCCCCGGGTCACGCCGGTGTGTTGGGAAATGAACAGGCGGACAGACTGGCTGGCTTTACACAGCTTGGTGGAATACTGCTACATGACAGGCAGATGTGGTTAGAGCCTTGTGGGAGAGCGTGTACACTTCGGAGGAGCAGATGGATCACCACAGTCTGGTGAGATTGATGCAGCGGGGAGTGACGAGAGTTTCTGGCAGATGCTCGAGGCTCAGAGAAAAGACAAGACGGACGTTTAATCAGAATGCTACTGGCACCATTAGTATCGGAACTCTTCGCTGGCTGCTGAAGATGGGGACGGAGCGCTTATGGGAATGCACCGAATGCTGTGATGTCGGTTCCTGAATCAAATCAAATCAAATGCAAAGAATATCAAAGAATGATAGAAATACAGTGGCAGTTCTCTCAAGACAGATGAAAGCAAATGATCTGAGAAATTAAATGCAGATAGTTTTTTTGGATATGTTAGGAGAAGGAATAGACTCAAGAACTTGTTAACAACTGGTAAGATTGATGGAAAAAGAGCAAAGAGATAAATACCTGGATGGTTTGGCGACATGCATGGAGCAAGACAAGTACACTGACCTGATCCATGATTTTGGTGATCGTGCAAGATGGCAAAACATGACAGCCTATTCATTCTGATACTGAACATGATGATGATGACTCTTGATACTTCTATAGCTACTAAGATTCTCCCCTCAACATACAGGTCTGTGTCCTATGGCTAACAGTGGTAGTTATATGCTGGTTCACAAGACTCCTCATGTCTGGTGTGTTTCTTGTGCCTGGCTGTAACAATCTTTACTCCGAAACCTCTCTTCTTAGCAACAGTGTGGATGCAATGCATTCAAACTCATCCAGTCATTATACGTAAAACCAGTAATAATGCCGGTATGATCTATAGGCTGGTCATGTGCAACCATGGCAGATTCAGCCAATCTATCAGCTTTTTCATTGCCACCAATGTCCACAAACCCCAAGAAAGATGAACAAGACTTCATGAACAGTGAGCCTCTCCGAATTTTATTACTGTAAAGTTAACACTACCCTGAAAGCGTCGGCTCTGTGGCTAAGTCGATGCGAACACTTCGCTTCGTAATGCCGGGATGCCAGGTTCGATCCCAGCTGCGGGCAATGCACCTTGTGTTGGCTTCGACAGTGGTATCAAAAAAGCCGACCGTCCAGAAAGCAATGGCAAACTACTGGAACGTAAATTTGCCTAGAGAAACCACACAACAGCCAGGGGCTGTTAGGGTTGGTTCTGCAACGTCCTCTAGAGGATACGCAACAACCTTTACCCTGAAAGCAGATAGCGGTTAGAGCCTACAGCCAAACTCAGACAAACAATAAAAAGTAAACATTTAAAAACATGAATCTTTCATGTGGCAACACATGGGTGTAAATCAGTTTAGAGCCAGGGAACACAAAGAAGGGGCTTTCTGACACATGCATGCTGGAATGTGTATTTCTGACTCATCATGCACAATAGGTACCAGAAGATGTTGATGAGATGATATACAGCAGTAGTCACGACTGCTGATGCTGGTACCTCTAGCAACTGCCTCACGCACTTAATGCATGTGCGAGTTGTCAGAGTTTGTAGGAACTGCTGTCTGTTTTGACTTCTCACATGGGACAAAGATAAGATATTTTGTGTGGTTTTCATTGACGTAAGAATGCAGCAATGATTGGATTGCTTGTCTGCCATGAAGTTAAAACTGCCGATACATTTATTTAATAAACATGCATTATATACAATAGTTACCAATTATTAGAGTGTCACCCAACACTATAATAATCAACAATACCCAATGCATGCTAGTAATGTCACCCAAATAACTTTTCTATCTTCACCTAATATTTTAACTGTAATTTAGATATAATTGTGCTTTGTCTGCTGACAGCAGAACTGCAATACTTTTGCCTTTTCACTGACACATCTGATTTCAGTACTTAACTAACATACAACAGTTTTAGTTATGCAGCTCTTTAATGTACTACAATTACCAATTGATAGTTTGGGTATTCAACACTTTGACATCATCAGCCTCCCCAGCCACAACAACAATGTTCTCTGGGAGGTAATTGTCATCAGCCAAGTTCACCAACAGAGATAGCGACCTGGAAGTATAGCAGCAATCGAGTCAGCGTGTATATCTGCAAACAGGTATACTCTGAGAAATTTGAATAAAAACAACTACTGACAAAATAAAATGAAACACACACAAACCAGTGGTGCCGAAACCTGGAGCTCGAGCATGTTAAAGCCTCCCCCTTCCCTCCACCTTGCAAAAAAATATATTTGCAGGGCGTGATGGGCTCCTCTCTTACAAAATGTTTGTTTCAAGCTCCCCCCCCCCTCCCCTCCTTTTCTAAGCATTTGTTCAGTTTTATATTATTTCAAATATAGGCTATCCTCCAAATAACGGTCCCAAATTATTGAGGCCGAAGATACACTCTAACAGGGCCCCAGTCACATGTAAATTGCGGACCTCTTCTGACAAATACACATCATACCGCCGAGAGTATCTCCTGCGCCGCTGCGTGCGGCGCAGAGCGGGGCTTAACTAGATGGCAAAGAAACTAGAGGCTACGTGCGGTGTGGGAGATACTCTCGGTGGCGCCTTCAACTCGGCGGAAGTTTTTTCGCAGATGGCTGTGTAGTCGCGGAAGAGGTCCGCAATTTACATGTGACTGAGGCCCTGTTAGGGTATATTTTCGGCCTCCATAATTTGGGACCATTATTTGGAGGATAGCCCAAATATATTAGTATACTGAGCTCATTATTATGACTATTATTATTGTGCACTTAAACAAGACTCAAGTCTCTCGAACCTCATCACCTTAGAAAATTTATAAGCCGCTGCGTCTCTATGTCAGCGCCACAAATCATGTGTGACCATATAAATACACTTACACACAGAATAAACACTTGCAGCACATGGGATCAAACATGTGACCATTGTGCTGACTGGTGACTGCTCTACCCACTATTTTATGACAAAATATTTCTTACCACTGAATTAAACAAATGTACTTTACGTAACACTTTTAAAAAAGTATAGAAACAAATATTAGGCATCTGTTTTAACCATTAAGGGAAAAAAATAAAACATATGCACACAAATATTCACACATGCACCCAAACACAGAATATTCAGACACAAAACACAGTTCGAGCAGCTCTTCTATAAATAAGGACAGTACAACAAACAATATAAAGAAGCAAAACAAGTCTGTTCTCCTCATTCTAATTCTTCTGCATTCAACATTAAAAGGGAGGCTGGAATGTTGTGGTTGGGACTGCAATATCCATGCCTTTCACCTTTTACAACATGCTTATTAACCCTTTCGCTGCTACGTTCCGGGAAATAGTTGGCCTCCCTGTGCTAAGCAATGTGAAAAAAAAGTCTCTGCTGTGCGCAATACTTTTCTATCCTCTAAACGCAAAAGATGCGTCCGCGGTGAGGGCTATGTTTTGTACACCTAAAAATTTTTACCCTGGGGAGTTGTGTGGTTGGTCCGAGTGTTGACAAGTCAGAGGCACGATGGTGCCCCACAAACTTGACTAACGGAGCTATCACCCTTCGGGGTGGGGGGGGGGGGGGGGTATGGGGGAATTAATGGGAGGAACTGTTCCCAGTCTGTATCCCAAAATTTGATTGACGAACCTACCACGGCCGCCACTTTAATCATATTTACTTATAGTCACCATGTTATTACATACCAAAATAATAATTAAAAAAAAATAATCATAATAATACTCAAGTTGTCCGTTGCTGAAAAGTAACAGGAACTCAAAGGAAAATTTACAATTAATTTAAAAAAAAAAAAAAAAAACTTCGGGGGTTGAACACACGACCCTCCGATTCTAAGGCGAACGTGATACCAATTACACTATGCAACCGCTTGATGCATTGCGCTGTGTAAATGATCATAATGAATGATGTGCACAGACTATCAATAATGTGTCTAAGTTTGTAGTCTATCGCCGCCTGCATGAGCACTGTTGTCTAAGAAATGTTTGAGATTCTCAACAATAGTAAAAATATGTCCCTCGACATTATTTTACGGGAGTTTTTAGCAAACAGTCTTTGCTCAAGTACTCTATTTTGAGTTTCTTTGTTCTAAGCATTAGCAGACAGGCAGAAAAAAAAAAATTAGTTCGTCCGAATCTGTGTCTGTCCATCGGGAAAGACGAGAAATTTTAGTGACTTAACTGTTTGAATTTACAGTAGCAGAAATATAGATAGAGCTGGAGTCATCAAAATCATGCACTACTGGTTTCAAATCATCGGTTCATCAAGACAACTGATCAATTTATTGCCGTTTTGATGCCGCTTCATTGTCACTGCTCTCTGATTCCGACATGAGGACGTCGGACAGGCAAACAGCTTTTTTTGGACACGCCGGTTTCAGCAGTCGATACTGATTGCCTAGTCAAATCTTCTTGTTCACTGTCAGAAGTACACATTTCAAAGTCATCGTCGCTATCACTTTTGACAGAAACTCCATCAATTCTTCATCAACTTTAACAAGTTTTCTTGCCATTTTGTACTAAGTGTAGAATAATCTAAAAGCACAAATATATATCAGGGCACAAAATACACAGATTACTGACCACGCTGTCACGGTAAACAAAGCAACGAGATAACGCAAAATGCAGTAAACACACCTTAAACACGCCTAAAAGTACGTGCAAGTGCTTTTAATCATATGTAAATGGGTCAGTTTTATCTAAATATAGCTAATGTATATTGCCCTTCAGTCAATAAAATACGAGGTAACAGAAATCTGTAAGAAAAGTCCAAAAACGGCTTAGGACGTCCATAGCACCGGGGGTCAAGAAAAAAAAATAACGTCCAAAGACGGGCGTAGCAGCGTACGGGAAATCGGGAAAAGACGTCCATAGCAGCGAAAGGGTTAATGAGGCAGTTTCTCTGTTACTTTCCGCTTAAATCATGGCCCTGAAACTCACATAGGTGGAATAAATCTGTTATATAAATGCAAGCAACAAGTTGGATGTGTGCTGATAGGTGCAAATATTACAGTACTTTTTTGTTACCAGATGCAATACAATACTGTTATGGAAAAACCCAGACAATCATATAAGAAGAAGACAATTTGCACTTTTGAGCTTTTCATCTGACAGAATAGAATCACAGTGGGGATTCTAGGGTCCCATTGTGGAGGGGAAAAAACTGCCCCGCTAACAAGCATGCTTTAAGAGTTGACTAGTTATGGATCGACAGTCTGCATACAAATAAGCCAGATTTGTAAAATGGAAGTGCACAGAAAACTCAAGTTCTGGAACAATACTTACGTCCAAAAGTGGAAAAGCATCCAGAAATTTCTGCCCGCGTTTACAGCTGGTGAATGCAAAGAAGAAGAAGAAGAAGACAGAATGGAGAGAGAGAGAAAGAAAGAACAAAAAAAAACTAAGCATAAAATCTGAAACGGTTTTAGTAATGCTACAAATGTAACTACAGGATACAAAAAGAAAGTGTTAAAGATAAATGAAAAGTAAACTAAAAGTAAAGGATCGCCTTTCATGTCATGAAGTGTATACAGTATATGCTGCTAGCTGTATCTATATCTAGACTAATCAGAACTCAACTAGTGTGGTGGATATTTTTAGACTAATCAGAACTCAACAAGTAGGGTGATATTTTTAGAGCTATCAGAACTCAACTAGTGTGGTGGATATTTTTAAACCAATCAAAACTCAGCTAACCTTTACTTCCCAGATAATTTTATGGCACTCATTCTAGGTAGGGTTAACCTAGAAGCCCAGGAAACTCTGCAGTAATGCACCTGACAATATGTAATGTATTATTTGTGTCCAAATGATTACAAGATAAAACCACAAGAACTAGAAGATACCTTATTATGGTTCCTTTCTTCATGGTTAACCGGATCCAGTGCTGACCTTGTGCCCCGTCAGTTTCCCAGTAGGTGTCAGGGTCATCATCAGTTAAATTGGCAATTTCACCATCACCTGACTGGGAAAAACAAACAAATTTAACCATATCCTGACCGAGATAAAAACAGAATCCCCTGATTGAGATGCAACATATTTCACCGTCAACTGACCGAGAGACAAATATATTTAACCACAAACTGACTGAGAAACAGATTTCACCATCTCTTAACTGAGTACTAATGAATTTCACCATCTCCTGACTGAGAAACAAACATTTTCACCATCAATCAACTGAGCACAAACAGACTTCCATGGCTTTTATACTCTACTAAGGTCTCATGTCTTGTTCCTTGGCTAGTATACTCTGGTAAGGTTTTTTGTCTTGTTCCATGGCTCATATATTCTGGTAAGGTCTTATGTTTTGTTCCACGGCTCGAATACTCTAGTAAGGTCTCATGTCTTGTTCCATGGCTTGTATACTTTGGTAGTCTCTTGTCTTGTTTTTGGACTCATATACTCTGGTAAGGTTGCATGTCTTATCCATGGCTCGTATACTCTGGTAAGGTTCCAGGTTTTGTTTCTTGGCTCATATACTCTGGTAAGGTGACATGTCTTGTTTTTTGGCTCCTGATAAGGTCTTATGTCTTGTTCTTTGGCTCAAATGCTCTGATAAGATCTCATGTCTTGTTCTTTGGCTCAGATACTCTAAGGTCTCATGTCTTGTTCTTTGGCTCAGATGCTCTGATAAGGTCTCAAGTCTTGTTCTTTGGCTCAAATGCTCTGATAAGGTCTTATGTCTTGTTCTTTGGCTCAGATAATCTGATAAGGTCTCATATCTTGTTCTTTGGCTCAGATACTCTGATAAGGTCTCATGTCTTGTTCTTTGGCTCAAATGCTCTGATAAGGTCTTATGCCTTGTTCTTTGGCTCAGATACTCTGATAAGGTCTCATGTCTTGTTCTTTGGCTCAAATGTTCTGATAAGGTCTTATGTCTTGTTCTTTGGCTCAGATACTCTGATAATGTCTCATGTCTTGTTCTTTGGCTCATATACTCTGGTAAGGTCTTAGGTTTTCTTCCTTTTCTCATATACTCTGATAAGGTCTCATGTCTTGTAACCCCCCCACCACATAGACAGTGTGAGAGAGAGAGAAAGAGAGAGAGAGAGAGAGAGAGAGAGAGAGAGAGAGAGAGAGAGAG